AGAATAACAAATAAAAAGTTTAAATAATGTTTTGGTCCCATAATTTTAACTTCGGTTTGGTTCTTATACTTTCAAATCATTTATTTTGGTCTTGGTAGTTTTAATTTTTGTTTATTTTAGTCCTAGTTACTTTTAATGTCTATTTTCAGTCTCTGTACTTTTACCATTTCCATTGTTCATTTTCTCTTTTACTTCAAAGCGTTTACGAAAAATTCTCTAAATGTAGCCATAAACTTTTATTAAAGGAATTTTGTTGTGTATAAAATTTTGTAAATATAGACTAAAATAGACATTTTTTAAAATTACATGGACCAAAATAGACGTTTTGAAAGTATAATGACTAAAATGAACAAAAATTAAAAGTACATGAATAAAAACCAAAATGAACCAAAATTGAAAAACACCGAACTAAAATAAAATCATATCACAAAGACAAGCAAAATGATAATAATAATGTGAAAAAACAATTTAAAATAATAGAACACGTGTGACCATTGATTTTCTGAGCTTTCTTGTCAAATATAAGAAAGATTATTTTAGAACTTGTTAAAATGAGGGGTTTTTTTTCTCCTTTTTTTTTCCCCTTTAAAGGCTTTCTTGTTGATGTTTAACATTGTTGTTTGAGGAAAAATAATAAAAATGAATAAATTTCAAATTCTTTGTACTATTTTCTCAAATAATTATTTACCAACCATACTGTTAATAGTACACAGTAGGTATTCCTAATATGCAGTATATATAATAGATTATATATGCTAGCATATTTAGAGGTAAAAGATAGAAGAAAAAAATAAAAAGATAAGAGTTTTACATACTCAAAATTATGTTTCAAATATTTATGTTAAAATAGAAAAATATTAATTATTTTTCAGAAAATATAACCATCTAAATCTTATATATTTGGACTTCCTTGACACTTTAATCACAGATGTTATGCTTTATATAATAATTTAGTCTCTGTAATTTAAATAACTTACCAATTAAGTCCCTGATATTAAAAAAAATCTAATCAAAACATATGAATGAGCAAATGGTAAAAATCTTTGATTTTTTTCCCACCCTCCATAAGTTTCATTTACCTTTACCCATATATTCATATATGGTTTGTTTCACAATCAAATTTTTAATTAAAATTTCAACTCATAGATTTAGGCCTAATGCATAAACATTTTATTTTTCAAAACTTATTTGTTTTGTATTTTAACCAAATTTCAAAATGAAAAATAAGCTTTTCAAAACAATTTTTTTTTAGTTATTTACAACTGAAAGAAAATGGGTTTCAAGTAAATAATATATATATATATATATATATATATATAATAACCAGAACCTTACAAGAATAATCAGAATACAAAAATTAATATAATAGTGTATTTAAAGAAAAACAAAGTCTAGAATATTAATTTGTTTTTTAAATACAATTTATTTTGTGTTTTGGTTTAGAAGATACACTGACAAGAAGCTAAATATTGGGGAAACGTAGGAAATGACTCTTGTCCCTAATCAAAAGCTTAACTTTAAGCCAACAAACCGACCACTTCCTTAATAACTGCAAAAAATTAATAATAATAATAAACAAAAAAA